CCAAGCATAAAAAAATACCATCCAAAATGCACTAAATTATAGAAACATAAATTATAATATTTATAACGATAATACAAACGCCCATAGACTTAAAACGACAACAATGGAAGCAAAGCGACGGAATAAAAACACAACAATACAAAGCGTGGCCAGGAAACACCAACACGGTACACTAACCCACAACCGCCATCAGGAACCTGTGCTAATATATAACACAGCCTCACAATTATTGACCAAATCTACACACCAAGCAGCATTCTCCATGGAGAAAGAGAGCTAATGACTTCCAGGGAGCTTCTCCTTGATCTTATCAATTATTCCCTTCTTCTCCTGCGTGTCTCCAACAGTCGCTCCCTGACCTACAGCCGCTCCATGACCAACCTGCTGCTGCGTGTTAAGATCATCCTTGTGGCCTCCAGGTAACTTCTCCTTAATCTTATCCTTAACGCCCTTAGTCTTCTTCCTCCTTCCACCCAAACCATCGTCCTCCGAAGAGCTCGACGAGCTCGAACTTCCCGACCGCCTCAGGACTCCAGGCGTCCCTCCAGCTGCATGGTGTTGCTGGCCTCCGATCCCATGCTCTCCGGTGTGGTGTAATCCCCCCGTCACTCCTTCTCCATGGAGCTGCTGGCCTGTGGTCCCGTGCTCGCCATAACCTCCGGTGTGGTGTAATCCCCCCGTCACTCCTTCTCCATGGAGCTGCTGGCCTGTGGTCCCGTGCTCGCCATACCCGCCGGTGTGCTGTTCAGGATGGCCGGCGGCGCCGTGGTGATGGACGGGATTGCCTAATGGATCCATGTTAAGTATGCTTAGTACTTGCGAGTTTACTATATCTTTCGGTTTTGTGGTGTGTGTTGGAAGGAGGAGATGAAGGTGGGATTTTATAGGGATGGAGGGGTTGAAGTGTGAGACACGTGTGAAATTATTATATTTTCTTTTGGATGAGACGACCGACATGGCTGGATGGATAGGATGTGTTATGTGGCGACGCGTGTGCGATTCAGGGATGGGGATTGTCGCGGTGGCTGCTTCCGGTGATTTCCTAGCTTACACGTGGGAGTGGGGGACCTGCCGACATCTATTGTCTCTTATTTTTATTTCAAAACTTGTAACGGATAGGAGACGTTAAGTCTAAACTCGCCGCTGTAAATTAATACAATTTGCTTTCGCAGCTATCTCCTTCCATTTTGCATTGTTATCTTATTGATGTGATAACATAAACTAATCATAGTGGCTTTTATCCATCTTCATGCATGGGAAGTTAAGTATAAGTTTATTTAAACTCTGTATGGCAATCGAGAGTTTATTAATATTTAAACTCTGGATGGCAATCGAGAGTTTATTAATTAGTATAATTATGTGGATTTGTAAGATTGAAATGAGTATATAACGTTCCACCCCTCCGAATTCATTTCAAATTAAAAAAGAAATTTTTACGATAGAAACAATATCTATGTACAGGCAAATCCACAAAGTCCCTCCAAATTTTACTAATTATTCATTACAAAGACACTATGAGCCGTTGCATCTCCGTTTTCCTCGGGTTCCATGATTGCTTTGAAACATGTTAACATCATCATCTTCTCTAAAGTTGATGGTCAAATTTGGGATCAACTTGTTCCGATGGAGCTGAAAAGAATTTGAAGGCATCATTTAGGTGAAAATGCTATCAAACTCTGTTTAAAATCATAATGTTATGATTTTTTTTGTAATCTGCTAGGCATGATTTGAAGTCCCGCTCATATAATGGAGAACCTTTTTGATTATTTGAAAAAGACATTATAACAGTTGAAGCATATGTTAACAAACCTTGTTAACAACGAATGATATGTCTAGTCTAGTAATAGTAAGAGGTTGTAGAGATCACAAATTATTGATAAAGCGCTCGACTTGAAAATCTAAATTGTCAGTTTCAAACTAAAGATTCACTTTGAAACTAAATTTGAGTTGCCAAAATTGGAATACGACGATGAAATTTATATTTTGAAACAGACAAATTTTCATCTTGAAACAGACAAATTAGATTTCAAAGTGAATTTTTATTCTGGATGTGGAAATTTGACTTCGCATTGAGGATGGAGTGAAAACTATTACATCTTTTGAAATATTTCATTCTAAGAACATATTTCCAAGTATTCAGTCAATCGTGTAAGAAACTGCGACGACGATCATATTTAGTTCTATGATTAGCTTCATAGTTAGAAAAAAAATACAAAACAAATATGTCTGTGATAGGGTTGGAGTAGCTACGGTTGCAAACAATATTAGAAAGAGACATCATGAAGTCTAAATAAATCGACACAATAACATTTTTTTAAAACAAAATAATAATTACCGCTAAAAAATTAACTGGTTTTAATTTAAACGAAGATTTCTTTAGACCTGACAATAGTTACACTTGAAATCAGAATATTAACAGACTACTGAGGCTATTAAGGCTGTCAATGATCGATAATAGATAAACATTTATCAATATTTTATCTTTAATCGTATTGGTCACCATAGCCAAATCAACTAATTCACGAGCATATTTCGTTCACATTTTATCTACAACGATCAAGCAAGTAATTACTATGGGGTTTGCAATTGACTTTTCACTTGGAGATAAAAAAGTGAAACAAATATATATGTAAGCTTGTTGGTGTAGCTACAGTGACATACACTATTCGAGAGAGACGTCTTAATCAATTACGAGTCAATGCTAGACCAGTTAATGATCTTTAATAGAACTAACATACTAAGATGTTAAACGATCTGGCTTCAAGTCGAGATGATGTAGGTTCCAACTAACCACCTTGAAATCTACTAATTAATCACATCCCTATCTATATCACCATCACATTGAACATGAGACCCAAGATATCTAGAATATTAACACGTTTTAAATGATTTGATCATTTGCGGTTACAACTCTGTCACTAGAGCTACTGCTACTAAAATTACATTTTAAATATTTAGTTCAAGATTTACTCAAATTAAGGACTTTAAACTCCAATATCATCCTCCATAATTTAAGTTTTTCCTAAACTCCTTATTTAGTCTTATCCACAAGAAGGATACCACCGGAAAAAAGCATACATCAAAGTGCTTCCTCCTGTAAAAGTCTAGTAAAAGCATCCCTGCAGAAAGCAAAAACATATGTGCTTAAAGTTGATCTATGACGTTATTAGGGCTTTTAATGATCTGATTTTGAGACGATATGGGGTCGGCTAAAAAAAACTCGATAAAAATTTTTGTATCGTAGTTTGACTCATTTATTTCGACCTGATCACGATTCGAGCCAAAATTCAACTCAATTTTTTGAGCGTTTAATGATCATCAAACTAAATTTGCTAAATTCACATTCATATGTTGTTAA